ATGCCACATCCCTGGAAGTGTTCAAGGCCAGGCTGGATAAGTCTTTGGGCAACCTGGTGTAGTGGAAGGTGTCCCTGCCCATGGCAGGCGGTTTGGAACTAGATGATCTTTCAGGTCCCTTCCAACCCAAACCATTCCATGATTGTATGGAAATGTCTAGTAGAGAATAATAAAACAACTACCTATAGGGAGACTAAGTAACCTAATAAACTTTTTCCATCTTTAACTTCTGCAACTAAGCAGCAGCATCCTGAATTTAGTATTGGCTATTTGTTGCTCTCCAGCTTTCTTTCATCAGTGCTATAACATGCAATGGAGTTAGTAACAACGGTTCTCCCATGTATGAGGAATTCCCCAGTCTTGGTCCAGTACCTCCATGGAGGAAAACTTTCCCAGTTACTTCAATTGCATGCATGGCAGGTCATAGCATGGCATTGTTTAGGATTTATTTAAAAAAAAAAAAAGTTTGGAGAGCACTAGTTTTTAATGAAGGGTGTTATTAACTTGCAATTTAGTAGCTCATAAAATTTCAAGAGTAGACGTTGGTGCCTAAAGTTTCCTCCATTACAAGCATGTAAATTTTTCTTAAACTTCTGACAAGATAATTGTCTAGCCAGTGTCTGTCTGTTACAAAGCTAAATCTTCTTTTGCTTTGCAATCAGAGTAGAATCTGTAATCTAAGAAATCACTTTGGATTTCACCGAACACAACTGTACTGAGTCAGGGGCAGCAAAAGCAGAGCGGGACCATGGATCCTGCCCTGACAGCTCCCATGTTCTAAGAAACAGCACAAGCATGGAGGTGATTTAGAAAAGGGCTACATTAAAGTGGCATGCAATGGTTCAGGTCTTTCTTTACTGAGAAAGAAAATTGTCTTGCCAGAAAAAAGAGGTGAAGACATGGCACAACTCTTTTCATTCCATCTTCATGAAATTATGCAAATTACTGTGCAAGGTCTCAGTGCGAGACAGAGCTCAGAGGCTTCTCAGTCTGTGATATGGCTGAGAAATGCTTTCCTGGGGGAGTCACAGAATGAACTGATAGAAAGCTCAAAGATAAATCCCCACTTTCCAACCTTCAGCTTGTTATGGGAGCAGTCATTACAAAAACTCATCTCCATCCATGATGGTTTTTTCTATGCAACACAGTGCTTGACTGAAGAGATGTTGACTTTACGAAGGTTAAAGGTGGCTCTCTCAACCAACAAATGGGATTTAGCAAGAGGGGAGGATTGTTGTTCTTTCTTCTTTCAGGAATGAAGTGTCAGGAAGATGTAGAGGTCAAACAGGCCCCTGCTGAGCTGCTGAGTGACAGCACCAGCTGCAGAGGGTGCTGGAGCAATGCAAAACCTGAGGGTTCTCACATTTGGGAAGCGTATGCCATCTCCTTTTCCCACATCTGAAGTTAGAGGAATAACAGTGAGAGCTCTGTTGGGAAAACAGAGTCCAAGCAGTTTAACTTGGAGCGCAAAGTGATGTGCAGGAATTGAGTCATGCCTGACAGACAGACCTCTGCTCAAACCTCATAGGGATTCCTAAATGGGAGCCTAAAGCTACTCCTGGCTGAAGACTAGACTCTAATGGACAATCCTCCCTTGCATTTCATCCCCCCAAGTATATGTGCAAGGACATAAATGTTTGCATAATCAGCTAGATTATTTTGAGGACTGAAAGTAGGACTGAAAACCAGCAGACCTAGGCTTGATTCATACAAATCCCTAATAACGTGTGACTGAAGTGAGTAGGTGTTATACATATGACAACACACAAAGAATATAAATGAAATACTTTGCATTGGCAAAACGTTCTGGACTCTGACTTAGATTCTGCCAGAGCTGGAACATTTGGAGCATGCATAAATTCATTACAACCTGGCCTTTCAGAAAAAGAGCAGTCTGGGGGTTTTCCTCATGCCAGTGAATAGGAAATATGTTTAATGTTTATTCTCTAATACAGCATGGCAACAGATTTAAATATTTAAGAGAGTTCTTCCTAGAGAATGAATTAGGTATCAGATATTTACAATTTTGCAAGAAAGTCAAGGTTCACGTGATAGAATAGAATTTGATGTTCTTGTTCAGAAAGATCTGGACTAAACCCACTTGATTTCTTGGAAAAGGCCACAGTCTAAGAACCAACATATATATCAAGATAAGAATAACTTTCTTTCTTCCTGATTCCTTGAAATGTTACAACTCTGAATTATACAGAAGCCAAATAAAAGTTAACACTTAAGTACTTGTGAAAAATGAAGGCTTCGTGTCCATCTGCAAGACCTCTGTGACTATGAGAGAACACAAAACCTAGTACAAATGGTGGGAGAAGGGAGAGTCCCACACAACATACAGCAAGGCCTAGGGGAATAAGTACTGGAAATGGTTGCAAGCAGATTATGGAAACATGGAACACATGCACACATAAATTGTCATAAAAACACAGAGAACAACCTTGAAAGATGTTGCAGTACCTTAGCATAGCAGGGTTTGGGGCATTTCCAGCTGCCACACTTCTGTGAAAAAGGGATTGAGAACAGATTCCCTGTTAATGTCTTTTCAACTGTGATGGCTCTAGAGCCTAAAAATCTGCTTTCCGTTAGGAAAAACTGTAAAACTTCCAAGAAAAGATGAAAAACATATCTTCTATTGGCATAAAAGCAGGAGATTTCCTTGCAGGAAGGAGTGGCATATTGAAAATTCCCTAGAAAGTAAAATACAGGAAGAATAACTGCCACTGGCAGCAAACTCCAACTCCTAGCAAATGCATGTGTTACAAAGCTAACAAAACAAACAAACAAATAAAGCACTCAAAACCTTGCGTGTGTGCATAAGCCGGGGGTTTTTTAAACTTAGGACTGGGCCTTAAATAATATATAATCAGTGAAGTCCTTTCTTACTATTAATTCTCACTTTAGTTCTTGAAATTTGGCATTTGTTGAATTCTGTGTTAGGACTTTTTCCAAATCCAAGACTTGGGGAACTTGGTTAACAATGCAATAAATAGAACTTCATAGCGTTACAGAGAAACATTAAAGCCTTTTT